GTCATGTTTTCTGATTAAAATGTTAATATTTAGCTATTAGTATTTTTTTTCATTAATATCCTACCCAAAGAGTTTTAGTTCCTAGTCTATAGTTGCTTCCGCTCCCTACTCAGTAGCAGGGCTAGTACTAGGTTTCGAACCATTATTCCACCGAAATTAGATCTTTGAGTCCCTGTTTTAAAATTAGAAAATATGTTTATGTTTAAATTATATAAATAATGTAATCGTTTTATTTTGCATAGTAATAGTTTAGTAATAAATTCTTAAAAAAAAAACATTTTCTTCCTGGCGCACAGGAAGTTCCTAGTTCAGGCACCATATTTTATTTTTCTCAATTTTTATGTTTAGTTTTATACTTAGTCTCTAATTAGTTTTTCAATTTTGATTAATGTCAGGATTAAAACTACTGAAACTAGTCGGACTGAAATTTTTGCATAAATATTACATAATACCAAATCAATAAAAAAAACATTTAAATAGGGTTTGTAAATCATGTAAACTTCAAGGTGAAACCGCGGGTAAAAGTTAGTATTGAATAAAACCGTTTTGATGATTATTTATAAAAATCTAATTATTTCCTTTAATATTTATGTAGTCATAATAGCAAACCTGAGTCATTTGAAATATTTAAGACAGCAATCCAGGAGAGTACGAATAATAATAAATAATGAAAAAATCTAATAAATAGAATGTCCTTCGAATTAATTCTCGAAGCAAATTTAAAAACTCAATCGCTCTACGCTATATCTGCCATTCTTCGTGGCAACGCGGAGCGCGTGAGGCACCTTGGGCTACAGACTTGTTCACAAGAGTAGCGCGAGCGGTAGACTATAAAATGCTAATATTGTCACTATTAGATTTCAAATTGCTCAAAAGCGCAGTAGTTAACGCGTTTTCTAATAGAAAAGAGTTTAATTACGGAATTAAATTGAAAATATTGGTGAATTTAAGGAAGACGTTTTGAATGAGGCAAAACCCTTAGTAATATTTAGTTGTTTCCTCTTTTTAATTAGCGCTTCTTTGGGGGTTATTACATACATAGATTTTAATTATAATAAAAAGTCATTTTTATGGCCAACGCCATGATCAATCACAGAGTAATTCCGTCGACATTTAACCGCTTTATTTGCTCACGCAGTAGTCGCAATAAACTGTAGCACTTATGCAAAAATATCTGGATCTATCTTACCGCTCAACGAGCAGCATAATTTCTATATTTACTACAGCTGTTGCGCGTCAATATAATCGCAGTCCGACAAAAATTCCAATCGCCTATAGCATCGGCGCCGATATTGAGGACACCCGCGAAACCGCACCGACAACTATTTCATAAGACGTATAATTGAAATAGCCGCAAAAGGCCCCCCACTCCACACCTAGGGACCTTAGGCTGACAATACTTTGACGATTATTTTTAAATCAAGAAGTTTATCTATATATATAAAAATGAATCGCAAAATTGTGTTGGTAAGCGCATAACTCAACAACGCCTCGACCAATTTGGCCAAATCTTTTTTTAAAATGTTCGTTGAAGTTCAAGGATGGTTTTTACGGCGAGAAAAATTAGAATTATTGCTGGAAAAACCTAAAAAATAGCCCTTTTCTTTTTCCCATACAAATGATTTGTAACTAAAACGTAGTCAATTTGAGCTTTATTGCTATGGTATAAAGTTCATATTAAATTACAAGCAATCACTGTTGTCTAAGCAATGTAGGTGTGTTCCTAACGTCAAAGATCATATCTATCAAAACAATGTGCGTGTGTGCGTTGGAGCACAGAATACATAGTTGGAGAGTTTAATGTCGCGTTCCGAAACTCGCGTTTCTTTTGTATTAGTTTCGGCACGCGAGATAAAATGCATCAGTTTCCACGTCATTACATGTATTGCCGGAACATTGATGAAAATACGCTCTGTAGTAGCAAAGCTGTTGGGTCCTAGATGCTCATTGGTTAGAGCAGTCCCTGGATCGCGAATGGGTTCGAGTCCCATTCCGGGGTACAGGTAGATGGATTCTTCCAGCATTTTTCCTTGAGAATGTTTATATATTTTTTTAATTCGAATAGTTTACTTTTATAATGCTGTTGTGTGTAATGTGTTTTTATGATCATAAAAATCTCTTTTTTCTATATTTAATACTATTACTATTAATACATTGCAATAATAATACGATTCACATGATTAACAATAAAGCGATTAGTTACTTTTAAATCCTTATATATGTTTTTATTTAATTATTTTTTATTCACAACGCCCTATCACCAGGGTGACGGTTCTGTTCAGGAGAATTTTTTTAAATACGTAGGCAAAAAAACTGCCACATTACAAATCTTTTTTGACAGGACGAAGTCTGTCGAGTCAGCTAGTATAAAATAAAAATATTCAAAATTGTAATAAATACTACAGGACAGACTTCAGTCTATTCTCTTTGATGATTCCCACAAACTAGCATGACAATCTAGACTTAGAACTATACTCTGTCTGTTAACGTTTGCTTTCAAAATTCCACATTATTTATTACACACATTTACACCGACCGATGTTTTCCAAAATTTTAATGTCTATGATTCTCGGTCACCACCACTATTACACTTTATAATAAATACAAGCTGACACACACATACGAGAGTACTATTACGTCCTATATTCGAGTATAAGTAATTACTTAAGCAAATATTTTAAACAATAGAAGGGCATTTCAATGAAGTTAAAACTCTCAATTGTTATATGTACTAGTTAAAACTTAATAACTAGATAACTATTAACAGTTGTTAGTTACTTCGTTCAAATTATTTATGATTAAAAAGTTATTCCTTACACTCAAGTAGGTAATTACTTATACTTTACTATAGATACAGTAACATATCTATGACTTACAGGCACACTATGGGCACACAAAAATTATATTGATTAGAACTGAACAATGACGCGAGCTGTTTGTACACTTATGCTAAAAGTCTGAATGCATAATATATCCATATTTTAATTATCAGACTGTCAATGGTTCTTATTTGAATTAATTAGAATTAGAATCATGCTATTTGTTTTAATTGAACTAAGTCAATAATATTTATCATTCTAAATCATCTGTCTCGTTCATATGGTCCTTCTAATGGTTTTTTGACTCCTGTAAAGTATCTAAATTCATCTAAGATTGTGTAAGATGTACCCATAGAGATCTAGTTTCCGATATCTATGGATGCACCACAAAATGTTTCACCCACTTGAAACGGCGCGTTCGAACCGCTGAGTGCTAAGTAGGCCTTATAAGGACCCTCTAGACGACACCAGATTCCTCTGTTCCTAGGGAGGATTACATTGGAGGGGGAGGGGGGTCTAATGACTTTCCGGTTGGCAGGTGGTAAATACAATCTTATTTAATGTAGTTACAGGGTACTTTTCGAAATACACTCGTTTGAAATGCACTTTTATTAAGATTTTTAATATAATATAGATAACTGAATATAATATAATTCAAGAAAGAGGATTAGCTTAAATAATGGTTATTTTATTTTATTTATTTAGAATATGCCATCGTCATAATATTCAAGTTAGAAAGAAGTCGAAGGCAAAATAGCAGGAGTTAAAAAATGATAATACTAACAATGAACTTAAATCCCATTGTAATTAGAATTTTGTTTTCATTATTACATAACTTTTCAAGACGACTAATAAAATAAAAAAAAATACAACTATTTTTGCACTACAAGTGTAATTCACAAATTAAGGCCAATTTATCTCCTATCATAGAATGACCAACTCAATAATTTACTATTTAATATGCCATAAAATTCTTGGCCCAACTTATAAGTATTGAATATGACATACGTAAAATGCAATCATGCAATAAATTTAAATTAAGGAAGTGATTTCATTTCTCACATAGATTATTTCATCTCTGATTTCACATGTTTCATTTCATCGATTTCATCCGAATTATTTACCCATTTATATTTCCGTGTATAACGGAACAAGTCCATACTGAAAAAAAAAATAATATTAAAAGTAGCATTAAGATTCTCTTTGATAACAATGACATTGTCAGTATAAAGTAACATTTTTTTTTTATAAAAACAAAGTGGTAAAATTCTGTTTCTCTTTTTACTAATATTTACGGTTTTATTGTGTCTACACACAATACACACATTAATATATAAAAATATATTTGTTTTGTGTTTTAGCATTGCATAAAAACAGGTAATTCTAATAATGAGTGTTTTTATAAATTTAATTATAAATGCTCATAGCTTAGCATATATCGAAAGCTTATATAATAGATAGATAGTTCTTAAGATTCACAATTCAGAATAAAACATCAAACCGTCTTGAGTGATTTAGTGACCACGAGACGTGAAAACGAGAATTGGTACCCAGAAATAAGCTCACGATTTCTACGGGGGCTGGCTCTCCATCTACTACATATGCCATCGTGAATTTTTATCTATAAAATGGTCTCTTAAAAAGACATTCGTTATTCATGACTCCTTCACTTGTGTTTATGAACTTAAGAAAACAAGTTTGGGCACTTCATAGACTGGATACGACACGACGACTTCTCTAAAATCATTCTAAAAGAGAAAAGAGGAAGGGGTCTCCCAAGTATAAACTAATAAAACAAATGGAACATAAGCAGGTGCCGTATCGTAACAGAAATATTAAGTTCTTCGGAAGCCTTTAGTCCCGGCTACATCTGAGCTTGGCATGCGCCACAGCAAAGGGAATATTGCCAGGCTGGTGATGATGAGACAGATATTTATAGCTGGTTCTCCACCAGTGTTTTCTCTTACTTATTTATTTTGTACTGTACGTAAATGTACAATTTACTTATGGCAACGTATTCAAGAGTTTTTAGTGCTAATACATAACTAATATATTATATATAAGGGTATTGCAATAAAATGTCTAAGGAACATAATAGTGTAGGTCACAAAAAAAAAATAACAGTTTCAGATATTATAGTAGAATGAAAGTATATTATTAATCTTCATTGAAGGATCACTCATGGGGGATGGAAAATGCACGTTCGGCACGAGGATGCCTATTGACATCCACATGCTGAACGAAATAATATACCGGGAGGTGAAACACTTCAGGAACTACAAAATCTATAGACCTAACTTTGGCTGTGAGTTGAATAATAATTTTAATGACCGCGACTATTTATATGTGACTTCTTGAAGCTGACATGGTTTAGTATATAGGTAGACATACAAATGTATCCCTATACTAAAAAAGAAAGAAATTTATTGAGAATACATTCCTCAATCATAAACATCGCATTATTTACTATTTCATTGTACAATATATAAAAAATTCCGAGGCCAAGATGGACCCCTATCTCAGCAAAGGTCCCTGTATCATTCATAGATGGGTAGAATGATACAAATATATTAATAATAATAATTGGGAAAGATTTGATCGTTTGTTTGATTGCATTGAACAGGATCCCTAATTACTGGATCGATTTTAAAAAATCTTTCTCCTACGTAAAGCTACATAATCCCCGGGTGACATAAGCTATGATTTACGTAGGCTTATCATAAAGTTGCGGTTAACAGCAAGTTCATAATAAAGAAATAAATATTATATTCTGACAGCACTAAGCCTTAGAGAACATAAAAATACGTAATTTGAAGCAGACTCTCTGGGGAAGTTTGTAGTGATATTGAAGTGCTGTACTATTAGTACAGACTGTAATTATACCGAATCCACTAGACCATCTAAACGTGGTTTTTTAAATAGGTAAATAGTAAATACCTTTCCCATATTCCCAGTTGTTATGCTTGAGTTTATTTAACATTACAAATTGCACAAAATTTATCGTTTTCATCAAGATAAATGTATTCAATCAACCTTGAATATTTCTAGTGGTTTCTTTTATATCCATTGGAGCAGTACGTTTCATATAACTGAAGAAAAAAAACGGTATTTTTTTATTATTTTATTGAATAGAACATGGTCAACATCGCTTATTTATGTTAGAATTGCACTAAAAACAAGTTTCACGAAATTAATTTCATCTAAAACTACTTTCATAATGGCGTGCAATCAGCAGTAGCCCGGAGACCTAGTATCTATGTCTTCGTCTACATTGAATTCGCCCTGTAAATCGAAGGAAATTAGTTGCGTTAAACTAGTTCCATCAAAAAAAAAAAAAACACAAAACTACTTTAATATCGTGAAACTAATGCATGCGACAGTGAACGTAAAAGTTCACTATCGCAAACAAACATCCAACTACCATTGAAATTAATGCAATTAAACTAGTTCAATTTAACCACTAGCTATGTATGTTAAACTTTTTTCTCCAGTGCCTCATTACGTTACTGTAGGTGCACTCCAACCACAGAATTGGCACCAAACATTTTCATACTCTGTATTATTTGTCGTGGGTTATTATTAAACCGTTTCGTTTTCAATGTGCTATTCAACGCTACATATTTTTAAGCAATTCCGGTGACCGGCAAGTTCTACGCCCACCACGACCAACTGAAAGCCGAGTCCAGGGAGCAGACGGAGAAAGTGGAGAATTATCACCGGAATGTGGCGCAGACCAGGGCCAAGGGTCCTCACAGTAAATACCCCGCACCGGCCACAGAGAACCAGGCGTTAGATACCTATTATCATTAACCTATTAATGTACTCATTGACGACCTATTTATTTTCCCAATCCGCACTAGTGCTTAGTGTTAATAACTTTAAATGGAGCCGCGAAGAAGAGCGCTTATGAATGCAATTGAATAGAGAGAATGAGCTATAAGGGAAGTGCGTATCAGTGGGTTTTCTCTTCTCGAACTCTTGCACGCAATGTATTTTATTAAAATTTGGTAAAATGATAGATTAAAATATAGAATACTTTCTATCTCACTGAACGACCACGTACCATAAGCCCTCGGGAGCAAAGCCGCCGAAATCTAATTTATCTTAAAGCACTTAAATATTTCAACTGTAAAGCTTTTTACGGCGTCACTTTTATCGTTTCAGATACGGTTGGTACTACAAACCACTAGAGCCTATGGACCGCAACGACCGTCGGTTCTACCACCCCAAGAAAGAAAGTTCTCACACCAAAATCGAGATCGTCATCCTCATGTCAAATCCTATGAAGAAGAAATAACATTAAAGTCCTGGCATATTATACTTACTGCTATAACCAAACTCAACACTGTTTAACTGTAGCTCAGCATTCAACTAATTTTGTTACCTGTTCTACAATTTTTGTTTCAAATCAAATTCATTCATTCAGTCTAGGCTGTTATAAACACTTGTGAAAGTCGAAACTCAACGCCATCGGTTCGTTAATCTACGGCCGGAAACCTTGTACTGAAAAAAATCAGCAAGAAACTCTGCAAAGGCTGTTTTTTTTATAAATTTTACCTATGCATATTATTTTTTGATAAATTTTGATAGATAAAGATAGAACTGACTAGACTTTGTATCGATACCTAGTATGAAACTCAGCAAGCGCTGCTTGTTAACAGACTCACCATCACCAGCCTATTACTGTCCCCCCAGCTGGGGCTCGGGCCTTTGGATAGAATTTTGATTTAATTTCAGTACCTAAGTCCAGTAATTCTGTAATCCACTTGCGAATTCACTTGGTTCTTTTTTTTCTATTAATAATAATTTGAGGAGGAATTCCAATATTATTAGGGATACTATTCCACATATAACTCTTAAATTTTATTATAACATACATATATGTATATTATGTAAAATAAATGTAATATTTGCGATTTTGTTTTGGGCAATTATTATCATTAATAAATGAACAGTATTTTTTTATAATTTTAATTGTTTAAAGGTCATTTACTTGGCCGCGTACTGGTTCCAGCTTTTTGCAGCTTTCTTTCTATAATCGCTCCTCTCCAGCGGCTGCAGGTGAGCTGCAGCTACGCGATCACTGAAACCATCGTTAATTAACTAACTATTAACCAAGTACCGAATATCACAGAGCTGAAAATGAAATAAAATATTAATTATTAATATTTAAAATTGAGCAATCGAGGGTAAAGATAATTTATCTACACTACTACACTTTTATACAGGGGAAATACTTATATCAAATAGACTACGGAAACGAAACCGATTTTGCTAATACTTTCCTTTACGGGAAGCTACCTACATCATTAGCGGGTTATATAGACTAAAATTTCCATGGGCGAATTCGCGGGACGACAGCCAGTATTTATAAAACAAATATGTATACGGTCTAAAGTTCAAACAAACAATTATTTCTACAGCAAAATTTTTGACGTCACAACCCAGCGAACTATAAACATGGCACAAAAGCGACAAGTACATCAGTTCAACTTCTCAACGCGATTATTTTATGCCTAAAATTTAGATCTTTAATTCATAAAGGCGTAGTCTTGTACGTATTTCTTGTCGTAGTATTTATTATACTTACATATTAACTCTTTCTCTAGAATCACTCTATACGTTTATGAAAACCAAAGAAAAGATCTCAGCGGGAAGCGCCTTCATTGTATGCTGTGCTATAGGTATATAATAGAATCAACGTTTTGCCGGTCACATTAGTTAATGCAAGTGTAAATTGCCGATTGAGTATCCATTAAATACTAAAGTATCCAAGGGTAATAGATAACCAAGTGTTTCAAGTAGTATCTATATACGAACAACTTCCATACCTATATACTACGTTAATAGGTATATTCTTTAACTAGTAATACACTTGTTTACGAGTAGTGATACTTACGCGAACTCCTCGTAAGTCTTGGCTGTGTATATAGCGTCGCATTTCACGTTGTTGACCCTCCAATATTTCTTGTCTTCCTCCACGCAGTCTCTCAACTGTCCCTCCATTGCCGCTATGTCCTCTTGACTCAGAGGTTTGTCCATTATTTTTTATAATGGAATTAGCAAGCTACAATTAAACACAGATGAAATAAAATTATGAAGATAATAAACTCACTTCAAAAAAGTTTTCAGCTTATTTTGAGTTAAAAATAAATATTATTGAAACCAATAGTAAAATATATACTTAATTGCGACATGGTATAATCTAAGATAACTGTATTACCAAATTTTTTAATTGCAAGGAAAGTTGCGAGGTCACAAATAATAACAATATTACAATTTGATTATAATACAGATTCTTAATTACTGCCAATAGTTGCTATGTACGTGACTATTGGTTGCAACGGGTTTCCATGACAACGCTTATATAATTATGCAAAGAATAGATATAGGTATTTGTTCTTGGTCCTAGAGTTATAACTACAATTTAATGACTGAATGCGACTCACTTATGGGAATAGGACACTGGGAATAAGATTGGTGACTCTTTAGCATTTATTTTTAAAGATGTTTTAAATATACCCCATATTGTGAATGCAAAATTAAACATATTTATTAAACTATATGATATTTGTGAAGATATTAATTTGTACTAAAAATTTAATGTAATGATTGCATTTGGCTTCAGATTACTTCATTTAATTCAATTTTCACTTCATTATACTTTATCGAACTTCATTCATAGGACATCGGACGTACTAATATTTCATTGTACGTCAATTATTTTGCATTTCATTTCATTCCAATGCCCGTGAGTTGTCTTCATACGAATTTCAACATTCCAAATCATATCATTATACTCGTATTACCGGGGATTTTCATACCATATAATCTCCCACTGCATTTTGCAGGGGTACGGACTTGTTTTACTCTGACATTTCGTGACATATACGTAATGAGACTTAGTCGTGGAGGTTCTAGATATGCTATGAACTCACGAAGTCATGGCTTTAATTTAAGTCTACATTCTTATATACTTTTGTTCTATTAATAAAGTGTTGTGATTTCTTAAGAATTGAAATTTAAAAATGTAAAAGATATTATCTTATACTTGTCTTTTTATTGAACCGTCAATCTCCTTATAATTAGAATAGACTTTTAATTTAATTATAAATTATGGTTTTAACACACACAAGTTAATTTATTCACAGAACGGAGCTATTTATAGAGAGTATCATTAAATAAGTGGTTTATTTATTAATAACAAAATAATGTTACTTGTCCGGAAACGGATGTTGTGTTGACTTTATAAAAAAGGCTGGTTTGCTTAGTCTTGCTAGTAGTTACTAGTCTTAGGGGCTTTATTGCTCGAGACGCGTTTTAGAAGTTCCATTACAAAAGCAACTAGGTGAAATACTCATAACCAGCTCTGAAAACGCATATACGTTAAATAGGTAATCATCAACAACAACAAAGTTTAAGTAATCGCATAATCGATAGAAATGTTCTACAAACAAGCTCTACGTTCACAAATGGCTATAAGTTGACTACTTTAATCATAACACACGTCGCAGTGTACATATAACACTATTCTTGCCAGGATTGAAATGCATCTTCAAGCCCAAATCGGAAACTTTTTTAGGATTACGTAGTAAACAAGGAACCCTTACAGTTTCGCGATTGTCCGTATGTCCGTCCGCCCACGGTTTAGCTCAAAAACTATTGGTACTAGAAATTGTAATTTGTGTTTATTAGTTTATTACGGCGACAAAGTGATAAAGCAAAATTTCGAAAAAAACAATTTTTGTAAAAAAAAAATACATGTACAGTGGGAATGATACTTTTTTCTTCTTTTACATGGTATAAGGTATTGGATAGGTCTACATGGTATTGGATAGGTCTTGCAAAAAAATAGAGGTTGTTCGAAGGCTGTTTTTCGAATAAGTAAACCTTCTGTGACTAATTCGTCATTAGATAAGAGCTTAGTGTCCCCTCCCTTTTTGTATCTTTGTAATTTCATTATACATTATGTGGCTATCTTGAGAATGCCTAAATAAAATTTAGAATATTGAATAGTTATAAGCTTAATTTCTCACCGATATCCCTTCCCAAACACTACACTGGAAATAGATCCAATACGTTCACTTTGAGCGCAAGATAGTGACGAGATTGAAGTCGTTCATTTATAACGGAGCGTGATTTTCTATTTTTTCGACGGCTCTCTGTTCTAATCGCCATTTTCTTAAACAACACTATGGCGATTGCTCTACGATTATCAGCCTGTAAGTTCTTAACACTTATTTCATTATTGTTTTTATTTTTCATTCCATTATTATGATTTAGCCAAAACAATCAGTAACAGATTTGTTAGGAAATTAGTGCTGATGCATTCATTTTACAATCTTATTCTCGGGATTCCTCGTCACGATACAGAATGCGTTTCCTACTTCTTTTTGTGTATCTAAACCCATATTATATTAAAACGGTTTTAAGGTAGAATAATGAGCACTTTTTGACATGAGCGTATGTAGATATTTTCTAGAACCTGGCCTCCAGTGGTCGCTTAGAAGAGAAAGATTTTATAGCTTCATTTTTTTGTTGGTAAAGATTTGAAGTGAGCACCAGGCACTTATAATGTAGGCACGATCATCCGGCTCTCAGTCTCCCTAGCATTTTCAAAGTGAGCTTTATTCAAACTTATCATATTTATATCTAAATATGCTTCTTCAGATGCAACCATAATAATACTGAATCTCAGTAAATGTCGCTGCACAGCTGAATTTGAGCAATTCCCTGGCTTCGACGTCACCTTACCAACCAGTACTGTAACAAAAAAGTTTTTCTTCTACACTCCAAAGGACGACCAATTCAACGCGTCAACAAACAGTTCCAGTACGCAAACTCTCCTAGACCTCAGCAACGAATTCAATTTCAATATTACGGTAACTATCTTTCTTATTAATTCTATAAGTACTTATAGTTTGAGGCACCGGAAAAAAAACACGTTCGTTGTATGAAAGCCCCCTTAAATATTAATTTATTCTGGTTTTTAGACAACAGAAATACATCATCTGTGAAAATTTCAACTGTCTAATTTTCAGAGATACAGCCTGGTGACTGAGAGACAGACAGTGAAGTCTTAGTAACAGGGTTCCCGTTTTACCCTTTGGGTACAGAACCCTAAAAAAGGAGAAGAGTCCATAAAAGGCTTTGCCGGCCCGAAAATTATTTAAATTCATGTTGATTGCATGTATGAAATTTTTGTATTTTAATATTTCAGAACATATGTATTTTATTAATGAAAAATGCTTAAAAAATCCACTATATACCTGGCACTCTGAGATGAGATTCGGACCCATGACCTTCCGCAATCCGACCGACTGCTCTAACCACTGAGCTACCCGGGACCTGACTTTTTTTTCAAGCACTTTGTTACTTTTTCGCTACTACAGAGCGTATTTTCATCAATGTTCCGGCAATCCAAACCTCTTAAAAGAAAAGATTTAAAGAAATAGACATAATAACAGTTGCTTTTCAAAACATATACGAGAACTTAATGTTTACATTTCTAAAAATATTAGATTGTTTTCTATAAAAAGTGATGCACTCAATTTTAATACTAGAAACAAAATTAAGTGATGATGCCTATCGCTAGACTGCAAGAAGTTAATAATTCATTTAGGGGTCTTTGTGTATGCTTCTACGATAAGGTCAAATCAAATCAAATAATTTTATTTGCAGAATACACGTTTACAGATGTAATATGCTATTTTTATTGTCCCAATCCCAATCCAATTGCAATAATTAAATATTTTGCAGTTTAAATCTTCTATTAAAAATACTTATTAAAAAGCTTATTATAAGGTATGTGAATTATTTAACAGATAAGAATGCTTGGACTTGAGATGATCCAGCAACTGGATAGGTGATTTCTTCTAAACTCATTATATCTCAAAATTATCTTGTTTCCTGAATTATATTATCTTATCATTATAAAATCATGTTTTTTTTTTCTCTGTTTATAATGTATTGATCTGGTAATGACATGGTTTCGTGAATGTCGTTACTCCCATTAGACCTGGTGAGTTTCTTGTTCGTTCTTCTTATCAGGCGAAAGACGTCCTGAGCGAGTGGTAGGGAAAAAATGTTAGACAATTCAAAAGCACATTTGAATAAAGATTATTTAGACTTTGATTTTGATCTGAAAAAGTAACTTTTAGACACCTTTCAGCGCCGGCAAAGACATTAATGGACATTTTTTCCCGTCATCTATTATTTGATAATGACAAAGTATGTTAGTTAGGTAGCATCTAAAATTTTTATTTTTTTAAACCGACTTTTCTTCCTGTAGGTGAAGAATTGAAGTCGGTTTAATAATTAAGGAAACTATTTAATGCAAACAAGCAAACAAACAAAAAGTCTTTTCTCTTTATAATATTAGATATGATCTTAGATCTATCATGTGCAGTTGTCGACTGATAACGGCCTACCTTATTATAAAGACTTCATAAAGACACAGCAACGCTTGATTCTAATTAATATAATTTGACAGGCAAACAAAACAGTCCTACAACTTCCATGGAACATGACAATGTCACTATGTCCGGAAGATGAAGTGCCAATAAACATTGGTCCATACGAGGTGCCCACGCAAAGGGATCTGGTCAAACATATGAAGATTAAGCTCTTGAAGGTTTTTAATAGATACCATGCGAAAGTGCTGAATTTCTTAAAGGACATCAAGGAGGTAAATCTATATCTACGTCCAAATCGCTTCTTTAAACAACATAACTACGTACGTATTTCTGTTCACTACCTTTATTCCAAAACTGTAGAATCTTTTTCCCTACACTGATGATTACGAAATTAGTGTCATGCATGATGTAAGGGGAAGCCGCTGGATGCGGGAGGCGCAGGACCAATCGCTTTGGAGATCTTGGGGGAGGCCTATGCCCAGCAGTGGGCGTCTCTCGGCTGAATTTTCACTAAACTAATTACGGCACTTGTAAAACTACTTCCGTAATGGCGTCCATTCGACAGTATCTCTGAGACCACGTTTTTGTTTACATCGTAACTTTTTGGGCACTTATTTCACCAGCATGTAAATCGTGGTAAAATTAGTTGAGTGCGTGTGACGTGCATCGCACGTAATTACTCGTGTCCTTGACGAAAAATGCTTAAAAAATCCAATCCCAGCTACTCTGATGTGGGACTCGAACTCACGACCTTTCGAAATCCGGGCGACAGTTCTAACCAGTGAGCTTCCCAGGACCTAACAGCTCAAACAGGGGCTGGTGTATTTTCAATTAAGAATATTTTCCAAAATAGCATTATGAATGTAAAATTGATCAAATATAAGCTCTAGTGTCGTGATACTAAAGCATACATTGTGATAGTAAACGTTTGCACGTGCAATTGCTTACGAAATTAATAAAACTAATTTCATGCAACTGTATCAAACATAATTTGTATGATCGGTTTTAATATTACTTAATATGTGAAGGTGAAATGCTAATAATGAAATAAAATATTATTACATCAGCTAAATAGTCATACAAAAATTCAAACCCAAAAACTACCTAGTAAAGATATTTCTCAATATTTAATCTACCTTCTATGTCTTTTTGTTATGTTATTCTTCGTATTTTTAAATAAGAAATCAACAAAATCTATTAGTTTTAAAATCGTATTCAATCTTCTGTGTTCGAACTACTTCAAGCTCTTCCAAACTAAACTCCCAAGCAAGCCCTGTCTTGATTTGTTCCAACAGAGGCTTTAAATAACTAAGCTGAAAAAATATACCAACAATTAATTAGGATATACTTTGCTATCTACCAGGCAACCAAAGCAACGTCAGAGGCAGCATCCAAGTGCCCGTCTGATCGCCGGCAGACGTACACGAGATGCGTAATACACGTGAACAAACAATGCAATATGATCACCAAGAGCCTCGTTACCTCGCTCGAGTACCAGCGGCATGACGTCATTGCACTCACTGAGGTATGTACGCATAGGCGTAGGTAGGGGGGGGAGTGGACCCAGCCCACCTTAGAAAGCTGTTGGCCCACCCTATTAAAATACCCTCTCACATACATAAAATAACTTAATTATTAACAAGATCCATGGCTGGTGTCATGGCCCCGCCTAGGATAAATCACTAGCTACGCAAATGTATGTACGCACTCACTGAGGTAGGTACACACACTTGGATTTGATGCATATTCACTATACATTTTTATATTTGTGTATTACGGTCAGTTGCACAAACGTCCATTAAGGTTTAATAACGCCTTTAAGCTCTAATGAATTATTAAATTTGTACGTTTAATGTCGCTTTAAACTAATGATAATTTTAATGGACGTTTGTGCCAATGGTTATTAGACACATGGTAATATTTATTTTATCATGTAATAAAAAAACTGCAGACTTGCAGAGTACTTATAAGAGTCTATCGTTAAACTCTGGCTACAGTAGGGTTATCTACCATAAGGGTAATGGAAGCCTAAAAGGTACCACATTTGTGTCTGTCCCTCGATCGCTTTGTCAGTCAGTCTCTTTATTTCGAAAACGAAAAAATTGAATTATGTAGACTTATATGAACCACTTTACGGATATAATTAATAGTTAAGGGTGCTCCCATACAAAAACCGTTATTTTTTGCTCGTTTCCTATACGACCCCTGCGTGCGCAAGTCCGTCTCACACTTGGTCGGTTTTTCCTTTTGATTTTGCTCGTTGCTTTTGTCTTATATTACTGTCATTATAGTTGCCCGTGCATAAGCTGTGAACTTTGATTTGTTATTTTTAATAATATATTATATTATAGTTTATATTCATTATTATACAGTCCTCACTGCCACTAACTATCAGATTCAATAGCAAAGATTTTAATAACATAATCCAAAGACGCTTTATTTAGATTTATAATACTAAACCTACACATCAAATGATTGACTGAAATATATAATTATAAATGTTTCTTGTATCTAGAGATCGATCTGCAGTATGTCAGCGATGAAGACAGACCCAGTACAGCTGATTAAAAATGTTGCTATGGAATCTGTATCCTTGGAGTTCGCATTGCTAGGATTCTTGAGACTCCTTAGCGCCTGTTCTTATTATTGCAACACGTATGATATTACATACTTAATTATATTTGGTTGGGGAAAAAATCTTTTCGCATAGTATGCATAAACTTGTAAAAAAATATTTCTGAGGTCACTATTTGTTACTGACTGGCTGGTGTCAGTATCATTAAAAAGTTTAATTTTTTAAGAAGATAAATTCAAATGAGAAAACTTTGATTTTCATTTGTTTTACTGTCAAAAATGTTTTAAATTTTCATATAAAATGCGAAGACACTTTTTCCCCACCTTTAATTTCAATTACGCATATAGTATGCATTAACTTGTAATTAAATATTTCTGGCTTTAGGTGCTATTTGTTACTGACTGGTTGGTGTCAGTATCATTAAAACGTTTATTTTTTTAAGAAGATAAATTCAAATGATAAAACTTTGATTTTCATTTGTTTTTCTTACTGTCAAAAATGGTTTAAATTTTCATATAAAATGCGAAGAAACATTTTCCCCACCTTTAATTTCATTTATTTTTAGATTTTAAATGATTAACATGTACATGAAACTCCAAGTGACCATTATTTTTTGCAGTGTAAGTGACAATACCAAACTTATTAAACCGAAACGACACTTGAGCGATCAAGAAATAGTCATAAAACACTTTTTGAGTCGCAAGAAAAACTTCCGCCGTCTCAATAGAACACCATAACTCACTAAACATCTTCGCGCAATCGGCTAAAGCATCCACCATGTAAAAGACATGAACGCACGCGCCTCTCAAACGCATCAATAGCTATCGGAGCTTTCAAGTGTTCCAAATTCCTCCAACTAGATGACGCCACCGTCAATGAACTTTTGACGTGAACTTGATTGAAACTTGAATAACTTAACCAAAATATCTAAGCTTTTTGTGTGATGTGAAACGGATATCACCGTGTGAACTGATATGTGACTGTTATTTAATTATAATACAATAAGTGAGAAATGTTTTAGTTGTTTAAAACTGTTGAAAATACATCCTGGCCCCCTTTTAACGTACAACAACAGAAATTCCTCGGAAATCGAGGTGAGTAATATCGTGTATAAATGGTAAATAGACCCAAAAATACTATTTGCGAATAAGATACTGATTATTTTTATTATAACATAAATAAATAGTATTTATGGGAATAAATATTTCTTGTGAGAGTGGCGAAAGTGAAATGTAGCCCACTTTCTACTTGTAGAGATTAATGTGCCTATGTTATTATTATAACAAACAGTTTAATCGAGATGTTAAATTGTGTTTTTAAAGTAAAGAAAGCTTATCATCAAATATATGATATCAGTAATTTTGAATAATTTTAATCCATATACTACAAATTTGATTTAGTGAATAAATCATTCTATATTTAGGATTTGTAGTCAGCAGTTTAAAATGTAGTTAATATATGTAGTTTCATATATGCCATTAGAGATTGAATCAAAACATTCTTGATACGGACAAGGAAATCACTTCTGAAACATCCATTATTTTGATTTGTGTATATGAGTGTTAATGCTTGTAATAAATGGAATTATTATTATTATAATTATTATTAGAAATGATATCTACATATTTAATCATAAAGTAATAAATACACTTTGTAGAAACTAGTTGATTGTATTCATTAAACCTCAGAAAGAAATTTTTCATGAATAAAAAGTCAATGATAATTGTTTTAATTTATTTCTGGCACTCGATCACATGTAATGTTAAGGTGGATTTAAACCAAATGTACAAAGAGCCAGAGCAAGAACACGAGCATTCTTAATTGTTCTTCTAGTGTAAACAAAAATTCGTTTTAAGTGTTTACACCAAACGAATATCAACAAGCAAGAATTCTCATTCTGCTCGTACCGAGAACTACAATTCTGCACAACGTTTAGATCAAATGAATGCTTGTGTAATCGATAGCTATATGTACTCAAATCACTGGAACACAAGAACGCTCTCAGCAACATTTCGTATTCTATAGTGCCGTTTACATCAAGCAAATGAGCATTCTTTGAATGTTCAATAGCATCTTTACGAATGCAGATAGAACAATGAGCGATTGCTCGAAGACTGTTTACACTAAAAATTCGAATATAGTGGGGATAAAATGAGCATTCAACCATTTGGTTTAAAATCGACCTTAAGAATAATACAAAAATGCATTTTATTTACTATATATAAAAATGTTCATTTTAATACATCAACATGTGTAGACAATTTTACAACATTGCATGAAGTAAAACAGAACTAAAGATTTCAACACAAATATTAAGACAGACGAATCTACATTGTTAATTGTGTACGACTCTTACAAATCAACATAACACATAATGGCCTATTCTATTTCTCTGAAAACAAATTTCATCAATTTTCGAAATGCTAATACGACTCCAAAGAAATGCAATTTTTGATAATTATTAATAGAACGGAGGCAGGAGCTGACACTGTCTCTGATGCACAGATATGATTTTAATAAGATTGATGAGAATGATTTGGAGTTTTCTGAATTTTCATTCAAGGACAAATAGAATAGAGCCTCAGGTTTCATTTTAATTTGTATGTGTTATATATCTCATTAATTTTTTTTTATCCTTGCAAGTCTCGACATATTAATACCTAACCTTTTTCACTTTATATATACTTGGTAGATCTGTCAACAATATTGAGTTAAACTTATATTAATTAGATCTCTCTTTGTAAATTAATACAGTTTCAGCACAAGATTCATGAAAACATCAATAGCGTAATCTTTATAAAAAATATTTTAAGAGCTCATACTAGTGCCTTTATTTATTAACTTCTTGAACCAGATCTACAACATATGATTATCATGCAATCCAATGTTTAGTCATTTGAAATTCAATCCATAATCTATGTCTTGGATTGTATATTACTGGAATGCCAATCAAAGATTGATCATTTAATGTGGACGAAGCTTTAGATCAACATTACATCAAAGAGAAGTAGTCATATTGTGTGTATATAAATACATATACTCATTCCAATGCATCTTCTGAAATACTATTCTGTTCCACATCTATTTAGCCTTTTGAAACTATAACAACTTAATGAATTATTTATTTATAATCAGCTATTATTATAAAACTTATCAATATAATAACTATTTTCTTCTCTGTTTATGTTCTTTCTTGTGAGATTTCTTGGACTTTTTAGATTTCTTCTTTTTATGTTTTTTTCTTTTCTCTTTTTCTGAATCACTACTACTACTATCTGTAGATATTGATGATGAAGAGCTGCTTGTACTAGATGAACTCAATGACCTGTTAATAAAAAATCTTCTATGATTTGTGCTTAAACACTGATAAAAAAACATTAATTTGGACAAAAAGCAGTCCAGCTCAGCATATGCTAGTCTTGTGATTGGTGCAGATCACAAGACTACATTAGAACTATTTGTTTGAAACTTACTAAGTTTTATATTCAATTACAAAGAATGTTAATAAATATTTCTATTGTGTGACATACATATAGAAACATGATTTGTCTTAATTTACAAACTTCATGTCTCTACTTCATCAGGAAGATGTTTGTTGTGGCAACTTACACAAATTAAAAAAAAATACAGCTTTTGTAAAATTTCAGTCATCTATATTAATTTTTAGAACATACCTAGATCTCTTCCTTTTTTTGCTTTTTTTCTTTTCTTTAACCTTCTTAATCTTCTCTTGTAATTTTTGGCGCAACTCTGCTTCTCTGAGACTCTGCAATGGTGTCGCATATTCTACCTCACTGTCACTACTTGTGCTGCTGACATCCAATACGATTTCTTTGTTTGGGTCAACCTAAAAAGCATGTACATAATCTTAAGTCAAAGAAAGACCATTTAATTCACAATAACACAAAATGTATGTTGCATAAAATACTCTGTTTTCTTAGTTAATCCTACACTTATATCCTAACAACACATAACTTTCATTACATTTTGTAGCACCCAAAATACATTAAGAAATGTACTTACTTTAATAAAGTTTCTACATTGAAAAGTTAAATGGCCAGCATAACCACACTTTTTACATGCTGACCTTGATGTTTCCTTCCCGAATTTATTCACTAGATCGGTATAACTCGCCATCGATTTATTTTACCTTTTTAATTTAAAATTTCTAGAAACTACTAGCAATTTACGCAAAATGCATAAACTATCGCTTGATGTCAACACACACGTCAAATCAAACACCGTAGTTGTGATGTGACAACAAACCAATAAAACGTTCCGTTACACACGCCACGCGACGCATTAACTAACTGGCGCAAATTTTGAAATCAAATATTAATAAGTATGACATATTAATGAAACTTTGTTAATGTTGCTTCTTTTCAATATATTTCAAAGCATTAAAACATATAAATTTATATGAATTAATTTTATATTATGCATAAAATGTAACCTACGAAATATACGACGTTTTAAAGCAAAACATTTACAATAAATATTATTAAATAAATTAACAAAAAAAAATTAACTCCATGTATACCAACTTAAATTTGGCATTTAAGACGGCAAATAAAAAATATCGACACGATAGATTGAATAGAATCTAAGCCAATTATGATATTTAATTGAAATTATAACTTTTTGGACTGAACGCAAGCCATTGGACATATCAAAGTTCGACGTGAATGTAATCACTAGTTGGCGCTGTCATCGCGCACCCAGCGAATAGACGATAATATTTATTTTACTAATTTTTATTAATTAATAAATTTTTTACTAATTTTTATAATATTTATTAAAACGTGGCATACTTTTAATGAGGAAGTATTTAAAAAAAAAACGAAAACACAAAAAACACCTCCACCTCCACTAGATGGCGACCCTAGCAAAGTTGATTTTTGCAGGAAACGAATGGACCAAAGACAGTCATTTCCGTTCCTTTTTAGTAACATATTTAAAAACTGAAATTTGAAAAGTTCTAAACTCAGATATCAATACAAATACGAAAAAGTACAAATAGAATATGAGTTGTTTATTGAGTTTTGAAAACTTTTAAACATGAAAGAAAACCGGAAGGGTTGTCATGAAGAAATCAAGAACGTACCGTAGCGACATCTAGTTTGATTTCGGGAACTAATATTTTTTTTAATACTTCCTCAATAAAAACGCATAATTTTAAATACTTCTTCCATATCATTCTTAATAGAGAGGTTATTTTCATCATTCTCACATATTCATACTAGAAAGACAGACAGACTAAAATTGTCTATTATCACCGACTATTTGTCTCTATATGACCCTGAGGTTGAATGGTAGAAAATGCCTACGGTATTACGTCCACGTTTGTAAATTTGTACAACAAGGATAAATAAAAACTCACAAAGAGCAAGCATATCTCATAACTGAAAACTAATGAATGTAAGAAAACACATTTATCAATTTTCACCATTTGGAAGTTAATTGGGAATTTTGCTTGCAATAAACTGGAAATATTGCTGGGGTAATTACCGGAAACTTTAGCAGGTGTCTAGGAATTTTTGTTATTATGACATTTTAATGCCTTGTTTCTAGTGCATAGATAATCATAAAGTAATTTAAATGAACATGAAATAATTTAAAAGTATAGAAAATTAACCCAATACTCCCAGTTAATTTCCACTTTGGAAACAGCAAAATTTCCAGTCCTTGGCAATACACCCGGGCACGGTACATCACTATCAGAGCAGTCGCCCAGATTGCGAAAGGCCATGGCTTTGAGCCCCATCTCAGAGTGCCAGGGACAAAATGGATTTTTTAAATATTTTTAATTAAGAATATGGTTGTTCAAATTTCAGAACCATGAAATAATGAAGGAACTATTAAAAACCAAGGGTAGCGCGTGAGTGCGATGTTACAAAATGGCGGAGTTTCTACCGCTTTGCGATGTACTTTTCAACGTGATTTCGCTGGCGGGTTACTTTTGCGACGTTGTATTTGACGTCGTTATGGGCTACGCTTTACTTGAGAGAGGCTACAAAGGATCGTTCGCAGCAGCTTTATCCATCGTCATCACTTCACTACTCATATCGCAGGTTAGTTAGAAAAAATGCGGGTAGATCGACTTTGACGATTGCTATTATTTTCTTTTATTTTATTTTTGTTTCCATTGCTTCAACTGCGACTATATATTAGATCTTCAGCTGATGAAGAATGGCTAATTCTACTACGATTAGGTAGTTTATTAGCGGTCAATAATGATTTACGGAAAAAATATTCATTAAAATTCGAAATATCATTCGTCAAGGTGCATTACTCTTAATGCACCTTACGAATGATATTTCGAACCCTTACCCTGTAGAGTAAAAGTATGTAGAGTCGTCTACATGATACTCTAATCGTTATCTATTTTATATTACCACTGAATGCTTCATAAATTATAGCTATAATTGTTGATCGCTGCTATAATAAGATATAAATGTCACCCAAGAACACTATATTACCTACTGTTAGCGTTTAAATTTAAACCAATAATTAGAACAGCAATTACTCCAAGTACTAATCTTAATACTCCTTGTACTTTAAATAAATAAGAACCACTAACTCGTTATCAAAAGATATGATGTGTTCGAATTCCGCCTGAAGCGAATTGAAGTAAAATTAATTTTATATTGAAACGCTAACGTATCTGATTGTGAGAGACAAACTGGACAGCGATCTGGAAAGGAATAAAGTAGTGGTGCTTAAGAATACCACCACTGCTTTTTAGCATTTGATCGATAGTGATAAAAAATAATTTGGTAACCAAGTCGGACATGGTTCTGTACTTTGAACTCATTTTCGTGTTCAAAAACTGGCGTGTTCAAAAACAATGGGCTATCTGAGGTATCACAACCTTACTTAAGGTTAACGTCTACTGACCCGCACAACCCGCGACACACAAATGACGCGCATGCAACGGATTTTCAGTGGCATACGAATTAACATTGAACCATATATCTCTAATGTATCTCGTGAAAATTACAGACGCATGTTTGAACAATGATAGCACATCCACCGTATTTACCAGTTAGGCCTACCGCGTAACTTGATATGTATTTGTACAACCTAATTTTGAATATACAGGTTATATCTCTCCGTTGGTACTTGCACGTGTGGTGGGCAGACGAAGGTCGTAAGGGTCGACCGCCCTGGCTGCCCATCCTCCTGCACTGTTTGCAGCTGGGTGTACTGTGGAGATACGCACGCCTACTAGTGCCAGTCGAGTTGAGGAGAGTCAAGCATCAAGTTAGAGATTTGTGTGAGTTTTTCGGGTGTGAAGGATTGCTATATGAATTGCAATGTTCAGATAAAGCATCTGGTGGATGGTCCCACAGGTATGTTGCGGTTAGTGCACGCATTCTGCGAAGCTGCCCCGATGTTACTGCTTCAACTACACATCCTATTCAAGGACACCACTGTGGAACCCAGCGAGCTCGGTGTTACACCAGAACCGAGTATCGACGAGCCAAATGGTAAATCTATATATTAATACGACAAGCAAAAATTACGCAGAGGGCGGAATATGAAATTCGGAAGAGTAAATGTTGTGACGTTTCATTCTCTATTGAATAAAGAAATGGCATTGTTAGCTTAGCAGACAAAAAACTCCAAGCTACACAGCCTGACCCAACGACTTGGTTTATTTTGGTTTGTCTGTCGGAGAGTGTACCCAGAGGCTGCATAAGTTTATCCAGACTTCACCATTTTTCCGTCAAAACGCACGGCGGGATACCTTACTTATTTAATAATTATTCCAAGTTACCGCACAAAGCGACATTTCTTTACTGGTCACTCTAAAGTGGATTTTCTGCCTGGAATCCTTCTAGACAAACTTATTACACGAACGCATCCATGTCCCACGATTCACCGTAAGTATCCACTATTTTGACATGTAACTACCATATTGTTGTATTTATTGTGTAGCAAATAAAGCGTTCGCTGAGTTGAACGTGATATCGGCGTCTTTGTCGCTGTTCTCGGTGTGCTGGGCGCTAGCCAGCTTCAGCAAGAACGTGCGCCTGCAGAACGTGCACCGGCTGGTGCTCACTTGGCTCGGAGTCATATTCCAGGTAACAGTCAGCCTCCAGAAAGGTGTGCCGGGTATTCCTTGCCAGTCGCCGGGGCCTGATCTAAACGAGATACAAAGTTTAATAATTAAGCCGAAGATACACTAATTTAACTACTTGTTTTCAGTTCCTATGGAGGCTGGGAACAATATCGGCGCGTGTGTGCGCCCTCACTGTGTACGCTCTAGTCTATGAATATTGGGTATTTTTAGTTATAGGTAACTATATATACATATATTTTTTTTAATAAAATAATAGAAGTAATTTGTAGTTTTGCATCTATAAATGAGCATTTATGTATATTTTTATGACTAATTACAACGGACTCACAATTACATTAAGGTAGGTTCAGAATTATATATTGTGCCACGACCGACTGTCCTGCTGCCTTACACCAGCATACATAGCACAGGAACTTTTGTGTACGTTTTCTTCGCCACTGAACAGGTTTGCACTGGGTGTCAATGTTCCTGTGGCTGATATCTCCTAAGAACGCGTTCCACGGCGAGCGCATCAGTCGACGTCGGAAGGCGTACCTCTCCGCGCTCATCGCCTTCGTGTACGTGTTCGCGTACGTCAACCTGCAGGAACTGAACCATAGACAAAAAATGGTGCGTACCGATACATTTCTATTTTTCTTTGCCCGTCCCTCCCCACATTTTCCAAGGTGTTTTTTACCGGTCAGTTCTATCATCGCATATATATACTCTTCCGCCGCCGAAGTACTTTCGGGAGTTATCGGCAGCCGTAACTTTCGGAATTGCCGTCTAAACTAATTTGAAATGGCGTTTGATGTCAGGTGACGTTTTATTGCGTGATGTGCGTGGAGAACTGGGTGCTGGTGATGGCGTGGTGGTGGGGGGGGCGCGCCGCCCGCCCCGCGCCCCTCGCCGCCGCAGCCGCCGCCGCCTTCCTCGCCGGCATCGCCTTCATGCTGCTCTACTACAGGTATACACACGCACTCACAGACTGATCCTTAGAATGAGACACTATAATACGCTTTAATATCATATTAAAACTGATTCTTTATTAGGTAATTTCAATTACAAAATCTGACGCGGTTACTCCGTTTGTTGAGCTTCCCAATAGAACCATGGGTCTCGTAGTTCGGGACTAAGTTTTCATGTTCCATCCACAGACGAAGAGTGGCCTTTAAAAAGTGTCCTTTTAATGAGTTCCTGTAGCTTTTTGGTCACAATTGAGTTAGTGTGTGTTTGTCGTTTGTTTAGATACTTCCACGTTCGAAGACTCGGCTACATGCTGAGCACAGATAAGCAGGGTACGAACAGCACCAACGCGTCGTTGCAAAACAAAAATGGTACGTCATTTAAGAGAATAAGACCTCAGACCCCTAGGCTCGAACGCAATCGCGACCGATCGACGCTGCAATTTTGCCGTTTTGTACTCTTGATTGAGTACACTAGCGCCAGAGTATGCTATAGCAGGCAAATCCTTTTTCTCATTCTGGGATTTTGATAATCCCGGTATCACAATCAATAATCTCTACTTTTCCAAAATATCCACCTTATTCCACTTTTTTCTTCTAATAAATACCTACGTTATTACATAATATTAAAGATTATAAATTATAATAATGATGACAGACTTTACCAAAAAGTTACAAATGTCTGCAATCAATTTTTGACCTTATCATTAAGATGCACATAATATTTAAACTTATTAAACGTTTGCAGGCAAGCCCTTACAGACGGACAACGCCACTATACCGGGTGTGTTTAACTGTAGATTTACAAACCCAGTCAGCAATAGGTAAGTAAAAGTTAATTTATAACTAATTTTGAGAAAATTAAATTAATAATTTCTAATTTCTCGTTTATATTGTTCGTATTCGTTTATTTCAACTCTTTTCCATATTTGTTTCTATTTTATTCCAAGATCGGAAACATATATACAAACTGTGCAATTTATTACCAACGTCTGTAGCATGTTGGACCAGCATGCTTACTCTCGAACGCAATCGCGATCGATCGACATTGCAATTGTGTCATTTCGTACTCTTGATTGAGTACACTAGCGCCAGAGTATGCTAGTGAATCAATCAAGAGTACAAAACGGCATGATTGCAATGTCGATCGATCGCCATTGTGTTCTGGAGTAAGCATGCTGATGTGCGATACATATCAATAGATATATATTGATGCCATGATTATATTAAACAGTGCAGCCAACGGTCGTAAGAAGAAGAAGCCGACGTCGTTCGTGCCGCCGCCCGCCGCCCCCGCGCCCGCCCCCACCCCCGCCCCCGCGCCCGCCCCCGCCGCCTTCTGGCGCCGCCCGCTGCCCGCCCCGCACAACCACCACGTCTGTATTGAGTTGTATTTATGATGTACTCTACACTCTACATATCGTCTTGATGAAAAAAAATAGAGTAATATACAGATTTACTTATTTGCAGTAATTAGGTCACCAACATTATATAAAACGTTCGATTTTCAAACACACATAAAACTCATTTAATTTACGGCATGATCGTTAATAACTCTATGGGCAGCAGCGATATGTAGGTAAGGTAGCTCGTACATCGTGCGAGTCAAAAAATCCAAAACATTTATCGCTAGGTATATATATAACACTGTCATTTGTTTTGTGTTTGCTACCGATATTAAAAGTAAGTTCTAATTATATTAGAAAAACAACAGTTAATTGTATCTATGCAGGGCGGCTCATCGGAGAACGAGGGCTCGAGCGTCGGCTCCCGCGTCAACATCCAACAAAAACTACAGGAAAAGAAGCAGAAACAACTCGCCGAACTGCGCGTCATAGAGGAGGAGATCAAACAGGGCAAATTAGCCAACACGGCGCCCGTCGCCGTCGAGGAGATATACACCAGTCTGCAGGTTATATACGTTAACGATTACCAAGTCTGCATCACTCTAGAACTCTTACCGAGATAGGCTGGAGGGAGATAAATTGAAAATAATTAGTATTTCGTGACCATGTTAGCTATAAGGAACGAATTAATAATAATCGATCGCTAAAGATCCATTCAGCATTTATTAAATATCGTTTCTATTGTAGGTATAACGTTTAATATGCATATAATATGATTTAAGTTGAGTTGATTTTTCTGATAATTCTCAATTCTACCACTCTGGGCGATCACCCGGCTCGCTAGCTTCTAAATTGGATGAACATGTTCCATGATCGGCAGGCATCCCGCTCTATTAACGTCTACGATTTGATCGACATTGAATTCAATATTTACGCAAGTAACAATACAAAATGAAGAGGGCTTCTGAGGGTATTGAAATAAATAAGTCGAGTTGTTGTGTGCGCAGCGCCAGCCGATCCCGCGCAGCAAGACGCACGCGGGCGTGGGCGCCGCGCGCGCGCTGCTGCTGCCCCACCACTACCAGAACTACCCCCACCCCCACCGTCACCCTCATCCCCACCCCCACCCCCACCCCGCACTTGACATCGATGACCCGACGCTCAGGTATCAATTATTCAAGGTTAAATATAATAGATTACAATAAGCTTTCTTTATGCATACATGAAACAACTTTTAAACGGTTTCATCGCGTTTGTATTTAGTTTTATTGACGTTTCGGACACTTTACAGGTTCCGTGTTCACATAAGACTGAGGTGTTGATAGTCTTTTTATTTAGAGTATAGCTACCTTCAAAACAATACTATTGGGCATTTACAATACAAAAAGAAATTTATGGCAACGTTTACATTTATAAAATTATTTGAAAAATACATTTGACATTATGATTTACACCTTGGTACCGTAATCTACCACCAGTTCAAAATTTTATTATTTATTTATACATTAGTAAAATTATAATTAGTAATAATAATAGCTTATCTCACTCGCGTGTAGGGCATACAAACGATCGAATCGGTCCTCTTAGTAACATTAGTCTATGGATAATTTTGTTATCTCAGTTTGGAAATGGAATAGTTTCTAGAATATCGAGCTCGGAAAAATACTCGAAAATCTACTGGTACCGGCCCGATTTCGCGAATGCTCTTCCGATTGAGCGTGCGAAAACCTAGGGAGACTATATGCGATTTCATGATCGACCGAGATCTAACATTTGCATTTCGTTGATCTGACGACCCACCCCTGCATCTTGTAGCAGGACGTCGAACGTATACGACGACGCGCGAACGTTCTACGAGAACCCGGCGGCCGCCCGCGGCGACGCGCTCGCGGCACCGATGCGCTCGCCCGCGCCCGCGTACGGGCACATGGGCCAGTACCTGCGCTACTGCGACGCCAGGTACAAGTTCGACGTCAAGGAGGAGTATACGTCGCCTCTGCATGTGCCCTTGAACGTGCACGCTACTGACGACAACAGGTGCGTACGATCTCATCGCAGAAAGTGACGTCACGTGTCCATATTGCTTAAATACTGCGCCGGCGCCGGCGCCGACTCAATGAAACTAGACAAAACACTGGAACGACGCCAATAAAAAAATCACAACAAAATAATAGTCTAACGTAGGTACACCGATTAGAGAGTGTCTAATAGGCGAATAAAACTCCATAGGAGTACCTAGTCTGAAAATTTTGCTTTTTGTTCACGAGTTGTGTTCAAAGAATATATTTTTTTTAATACTGTATTTTTATATGTAAGCCCTAATACGAGCGCACTAGGCAGTTGCCTAGTTTTCTAAATTTATCCACCAAACAACATATCAAAGTAGTAAATATCTTCATAACATCGCTGTCTTATTCTATAGCTAGAATCAAGGCTAGAGAGGAAGGCAGTCACTCTGTTGAACCGTCAGCTACAACTGTTAAAATTCTAAAAAAAAATATTTTTAACAGTGGCTTATCTATACCGTTTCAGGCCCGTACTAATTACGTAATAATAAATGTACCGTTTTTACTAATTACGTAATAATAAATGTCAGGAGTAAGGAGTCTCTTCTGACCGGGGGCCCTTTCTAGCTGTGGGCCCGTGGCATTTCGCTGACTCGCCACCCTGTAGTTACGCCACTGATTTTTAATAAAACTTTAGCTGGTGTTCTAAGCTATAGCCGGATTTCCAACAGGCGCCGTTTAGCCTAAAATAACTATTCTTGTTGTTGAATAAAAATTACAAAATGGCCCTCTAGTTTAAATCAGCAAAACTTGTGATAAGCGGAGTAACTTTCATAGACGTGGTTGAAATTTCCATTTCGATCCGAAGGTACGGGTGCGGTCAGTACGAGCAGTATGCGGGGGCGGGGTCGGGGTCCGGGGCGGGGGCGGGGGCGGGCCGGAAGGAGCAGTGCCGCAAGTTGCAGCGCTGCCGCACGCCGGAGATACTGCTCGCGCCGCACTACCTGCAGCCCTGCACCAGGCAGGTCTGCTGCCACTGGGGACCCGCCTACACGTGAGTGCACACACACACACACATGCGCACACACGCACGCACGCACAGAGAAACGTATAAACAGGCAAAGGAAGCATTTTGCCCCGGGCGCCAAAATCATCTTAATAATACAGTTAAAAATAAAAGTAATGAAATCATACATCTCAAAAATTTGTGCGCAGGGGGAGCGAGTGTGTGGGCGCAATATAAAGTTTCTTCCCCGGTTGGAAATATTCGTAAATCCGGGCCCGAGACAGACAGGCTGAGGTCAGAGAGAGATATCGCTGGTCTCGGCGTAACACTTGAACTACCTATTTCATTATGAACGATATACCGAATTGTGATTTTGAATATCCATTTGTCATTAGAAACAGAAACAAAGAGGAAGGCGGGGCAGCGAGTAGCGGCGACGAGTCGAGCCCGGAGGGGGGGGCGCGGGAGACGCCGCGACCTCCCAGCGATATAGACAGCCAGGTGAGCGTCACGGTCATATATTATTGCTGGGGCAACCACCACCGACTATTAACTTAGTTGAAACAGAGTATCTTCAGAATACTATCAGTATACTAATGAACAGAAACTCCACAAAGGACCCTCAGATTGCCAACCACTATATGATCGTGTGTCCGCATACCGATCTCACTTAAAATGGATGACCATTCGGCAGCGCAGAAGTATGCGAGCTCTTACTACTCTGTTCTCTTTACTAAGCTCTTGAAATATTCCGTCTTGTCTCACGTTCCATTTTCGGTACATACATTGTTTCACTAATACCAAAGACCTTCGTTCCTCCTCAAATCAGCGGGTTGTGTATTAATCTCACCACGTATCACCAGCTCACGTATCAGTCGATTCTGTTGTGGAATGAACTGCCGTTGGACACAAGAATGTCCACTAGCAAATTTACATTTAAAACAAAGCCGCGTCTGAACAGGCTAATTCGTTACACCGTTAGTATTCTATATTATACTAATTATATTTTATATAGGTTTTATTTCTTTTATTTATATCTCCACCTCAATTTTGTACACTACCACCTTTTATCTCCACATCACCCATCCGGCTGACTGGTTGAAAATGCCTAAGGCATGATACCCAACCGGTGGAAATCAGTCGAGCGTATCACGCAAATGTACGTTAGAACTAATCGACTCATCTGTAGAGAGCACAGAAATATATCAATATTTAAGAATTGATTTCTGCGGTCGAGTGTACAATGTTATATCGTATAAATATATAAGGGTTGACTCGCAGAATAGACAAATGTCAATTCTGCGAGTCTACCCTGTCTGTCAATGAACGAAATTTTCGAAAAATTTTAAATCGTTCTTATAATTTTGTTAAATCATATTTGTGAAGATTATACGAGCATCGAAGGCAGTATCAGTTTCTACCTCCGTTGTACGAGTATTATAAATTATTATCGAAAAATGAGTTTCGTCAGAGTCGTATTAACGTTTCGAAAATAAGATGAAATTTTATTTTCTGAAACACAATGTAACGCGGTGAAGCGCGTCAGTGAAGTTCACGCACAAATCCTGCAAGTTTTTGTGTTATACTGTGAGTTGTGCTAACTTAATGAATATAATCTGCGTACAGATATCTCTGCCTCGTTCGTACACGTTGCCGCGCGAGTTCAGGTACTGGAGGCGGAGGCCGCGACTGAGGGACGCGCACGTGCCCAGCAACAACAGCAGCGACGGTAAATATACCTATGCAACGCGCTCGACAAGTAGATAGTGACAGAAAATGGCGTATTCGAATTTCGCATGCGTGATGAAACTAATTTTTATATATATGCTGGTCTAAAGCCATCCATCACAAACATTATAATTTTGATGCATAACTTGGTTATTTCTCCCTATGTGCTAACGGACTTCTAAATAAGAGACTGGATGATGAAGAATTAGTTTTTAAAATCGAAGGGAGCGGCACTGCCAGACTGGCAAACACTCCCGTCGGATATGCACCGTCTCTAATGACGTATATTATGGTTCCGCAGGTGACGTGGACAGTGCTGGCAACGAGTCGGACCGTCGCTCCAACTGTTCCGCGTCCTCCCAACTGCAGAGCCCCACCAGCCACATGAGCGTGGCATACGACGGGTACTCTTACCACCCAGACGCGATGCACGAACTGTACGCGTGCGACCGCCGCAGACGCCCGAACAGAAAACTGGCCCACAAACCCGAGACCAAGCTTTAACTAGCTCTATATTTTCATGTTAGGATAGAGGCAATAACCTCAGTCACTACCATTAATACTTTTGAATACATAGTTAGATTAAAATATATGTTTATAAAGCTTTATTATTACGATTATTATAATTGATCAATTTTGTTTTTATTGGCCACCAAATAAGACAATTTTGGATAGTAATCTAGGGATGGCCTTTTGAATCAATGGTGTTTAATTAATTCCAAACATTGGCTTTAAACAATGTATTGCCAGTCATAAACGTAATCAATCCGTCCATTGCTACTGTTATTGGATCTCTATATTTATTATTATAAAACCATAAATAGTAGTAATCTAAATTGACATTGTCAAATAATAGTAGGTGTGTAATTTAATTGTACTAAGTCACAAAATGAACCTACCTAATTTATAAAAAATGCACTTTTGTCAAAAACAATGCTCTTACACATAGTTGCAGAAACGTCCATTAATATTGTCATTAGTTTAAAGCGACATTACCGATATAAATTTGTCATTCATTAGTGCCTAAAGGCGTCATTAAACATTAATAAATGTTTGTGCAACAGAATGTTTATGCTTTAAGAATTACTTAGCGCGAATGGGATTCGCGTCTGGTTATTGGTTATCTTAGGGGCCGCCCATTAATCACGTGAGGCTTGGAAGTGGGGAGGGAGGAGGGGGTGAGGGTTCGTCAAAAATAATAATATATCATGTGTATCTATTTTTCCTCAAATGCGCTATTATTAAGCCTAAAAGCGTCGTCAAATATTAAGATTTTTTGTAGGTACTAAACAACACGTGTAATGGGGAGGGGGGTAGTCTTACATCTCACCATGTATCACCAAGGTAGATGGGAGGTTAAAAATGTAGAAAAAACATCATGTGATTAACGAACGGTCCGTTAGTTCATGTCAAGTTAGTAATTTGTGTCAGTACTAAAATCCGTAAATTATCACTCGACACGAGTTCTATTTGCACTTGATAATTTTCGCAAGAGTTAATGTATTATTGATATAAATAAATAATGTCTAACTTTATAAAAAAAAAAAACTAGCCTTAAGCAATCTGTAAATTGTATTTTGTATAATAATTGTATATTATACACTAACATATTGTATAGAGAAAAGAGGAGGGGGAGAAAAAAGAAGAAATAAAACGTACATTTCAAACTTTTATTTATTTTATTATCTATATTCCAATTGTAAAAGGGGGGGAAACAATCACTCACTATCACTCCGTGTTTCTACACCACTACTGATCTTCAGCCATTTACACATTTATAAAGAAACATCAACCGAAATAAGGTTAAAATTCACAAATACACATTTAATGTTGATTAACCTAACTTACTACTAACAGTTTGGATGCAACGCGAGATCTCGTAGACAGACGGAAAGTAATAACTCGCGGGCGAGTTTGATGTCAATGCATTCACGAATAGAGATCATAGTCGAATGTGGCCGAGCGGGGCATGTTTTATTTCACCACACACATATAAAAATAAATCCGATACCCTTCCGCTCACATCCTCCTTAACAAAGATTTATAGAAACATTTATCTCTTGTCCGCGAACGCATTGGTACTGTCAACTGGTGACGTCACTATGCACCCAAACTCCATACACCTAAGTTGCTCACCCACGGACCTAGCGACGTTGCGGCCACAACATACACATTGTACAACCAAATAATGGTGTCGAGAGCACCCTAAACGAATAGAAGCTAATCTCTGCCCAACCACTACAGCTATTGTATTGTAACAGAAACTTTGTCGAATATTGTATAGATGTATAATATACCGACAAGTTAAAGAAATTGTGTAAATAGTTACTGATATGATTACAAGTTCATCGTTAAATTATAAATCTTATTGCACTATCATTAAAATTCATTTCGCCGTGACGCAGGCGGTCGGTGTTGTCTACGAGACTGATATTCAAAAAAAGTTCTAACGCCTCTCGCCCCCACTATTCGTATATAATAATAATAATATTATATTATAATTCTAAGCTCGGAATATATACTACAAATGAATTTTTACTTTTTTCAATATACAATTTTGGACTTACGATTTAAATGGAACACACGGCAACACCGACTCTGTATGGAAACGCAGTGTATATCGACACAAACTATTTAAAAAAATAAACAAACAGATTTACCAATATACGGCGAACGAATTTACTACTTCTATTACTTGTGTTATAAACATAGCAGAAACAAACAAACTGACAGATACAATTGTGCTGTGTTGTATGTATACAATTTTGTTTTAATATTATTAAAAAAATAGTAAGCACAATTTTTGTTTTCGTTAATTATTCACCGAAATACAACAATTTTAGTCCTGTGTATTTACATGAATCTTAAAAATACACTTAATAGATCCTTAATTGAATAGGTATGAGATAATTTTACGAGTTCCATGTAAAGCCTAATACGAAAAACAATAAAATCCAAACAAATTCTTCCTGCAGCATCGATCGCTACACAAAACTTTGTACAATGTTATATGAAGTTAAAATATAACATTCGACAGCGATACAGCTGTTGTGGGTTCGTGCGCTAAACAAATTACGTTACTGACTCGCGATAGACGTTGCAATGTAAATTAGAAAGCTCTCGCACGATCCTATCCCATATAAAACTATATATGTATTAATAAAAATAAAATTTCCTTTCCAACAAATCAAAACAGTGTTTCATCACTTAGCATTTCCTATAGGCACTGAAAATGAAACCTCCCTTATAATAATCAATTCTACAGCTGTTTACTTGTTAATATCCTTACGCTAATGGGAATTATTTCTACAACATAAAAAAGAAACAAATTACATACACCCAAACCGCGTCGACGTTCAAACTTTTGGTTACGATGTCAAGTTATGGTTTCATTTATTTTGAGTGTCGATAAATGTCCTGATAAATGTCAAGAGCTTTGCGGTTATAATCTAATGTTATTGCAGTATCGTTCAAAAATCTGTTCTAAAAAAGTATGAACCGCTTTTTTTGTTTAGATAAAACTTTAAGATTAGGTAATTTAAAAAAGGAAATTAAATCCTCAGTCGATTACACTGGGAATATAAATTTAAAAAAATAATTAGACATTCAAACCAAATGAAAGCATAACACGTCCATTCTCATAACACTAATTCACATTTCGTTTTACGAAAGGACTTGCGTTAACGTTTTCGCTCTTAATACAAAAGCAATATGGTTTAAATGGGGCATCTCTTTCATAAAACCACTGTTAAACTGTAGGGACACAAGCATTATTCTAGCTGCTAAATAGCGACGACGAAATCGATTTTTCTTACGAAGAATCGGCGGAATTAGTCGGGGAACGTTTGATTGTGCAAGACACCAACAAGATAATAACACAATATGTAATTGAAACATTTTGTTTCGTATAAAATTAAGGCAAGCAGTGCTACAGCGTTGTGAGTCGGCGTAAAGTTGAAACATTTATTATAATAATTGTATTTGTAACTACAATTGCTTATTTATTAAGTAAAATATTATGAATCGGCAAATTAATAAATAAACTATCTATGACTGAAAAATACATAGTGAACTTCAATCTTCAATATATAATTTTGTCATTTTAAATCATTTCAATTACATATTGTACGCAAATGTTTAAACAATTTATCATAGAGAAAAGTCAAATTTAAAAAGTAAATGGCTTAAAAAAAACAAACACTTTAAAGGTTCCATATAAAAACACACAATAGTTAGTCCACGTGTATCGTTGTATTGTTATAGAGTCAACGCGGCAGGTATTAAGTCTAAGGTTTAAGTGGTGTGGCTTACTTGACTATTTATATGTAATGCGGCCGACGGTCACCGCTCACGATGATATGAGCTGCAAATAACGTTACATTTATTAGATATTTTTACCAGATTCCAGCACATAGGGCGTTCTAACCGATTATTTCGAACTTAACCAAAAAATAAACGACAATATTCGTGCACTTGTACGTTCGACTGAAATCGACCTATGCTAGTTATATATGTATTTAATACCAAAATAAAGTAAATTTTTGTGTATTTTAAATGCCAAATGGATCTCAAATAGAAGATATTAAGGCTGAAATACGCATGCCACGTAGTAGTACTAAAAGCATGCTAGTTCGAGCAGATTGCTACTTAGTAGCAGACAATTAGCACGTATATTCGAAAAGAGCATGCTCGCTATAATGAACAAGCACGCTAGTTAATCGCAGGACTGATTATTTTCCGTGCTATTAGCACAGGTGTGAGGTGCGTGTGTGTGTGAACTAGTTTTGCTTGCTACTAGTTTTGTTTGCATATGTAGGATCGATGGGGCGATGTCAAAAACGTTAAATTTCTTTCTTTGTAATAGTACGCTCACCATAATATAAAAAAAATTGCGGGACAATGCGTACCAAAATATATAACGATCGATAAATCATTACAATTTAAGTATAATAAGTGTTAAAATAAAAATAATAAATGCGAAGGATTATTTTCAATGAATTTAATTGTATCTTGCACATGAGTCCACAAATAAACATCCGTTTTGAATGCTTCAATGGGTACGTCTCTCAGACGCGCTAGAGAGAAGTATGCTTCTAAAATCTATGCTTTCGTGTGATAATGTACTCACTCGGAGAGCATACTATGAATGAATATAATTTGTAGTAGGAAACAAGCGTACTTTTTAGTAGGATGTGTATTCCAATTAGGATGTTTTTATACAGATGTAACTTTACTAACTAAATTTACTAACTTAACCTGCAACTGGGATGAAGTCAAGTTCGGAATAAGTTTTAACAGTACCACTTCGCTCTTAATCATGTCACATTTTTTAATAGCCGTCTGTTATTTTATCTCTACAGCGTAATCACTGAACACAATATTTAAATAATCTTTTTGGAAATCTTAGTTTCGAGATAAGTGACGCTATGAAAATATAAATACATACTAAAAAACTATGGGCTCAACTGAAATTCGATTCGCACTCATTGTTTTAACTTTTGGTA